GGTGGTTAGTATAAAGGGTTAGACTGCATTTGTGAGTTCAGACAGCGGAGTCAGATAGTGAGTTGGGTGGCTACCTCTGAAACTGTTCCCACCCGAGGCAGGACAGGCCGGGGAGGGAGAGCCTTGTGGTCTGAGGACGGGAGCAAAAGCACTCTTCTGTTTAGCAGAAGATGGGAAGGAGGAGAAAGGCAGGAGAGAAGATGAGGAGCTGGAGCTTCCAGGAATGGTGGGGCTGGAGGGCATGACTGTGGAACAAAGAGCATGGAGCGGTGTCGCATCTGAAAATATCCACCAACCAGAAGAACAAGGTTAAGTGTCAGACATTAGAGAACATTTAAGGTCTTACTGTAAGGAGAGCCAGTGGGGGAGGTACTGTTGAAACCAGAAACACCTAAGCTGGTCATAGGAACTGTCCCATAGCCTCCAGTCATCCCGCTGCAGCCCCCGTAGCCTGACTGCTGAGGAGTAGAGGCTGATTGGTAACCTCTTGGAGACAGACTGCTGGAGTTTCGATTGTAACCTGAGAAAAGACATTACCAAAATAAAAAAAAAGAAACGTAAGGGTAATGTTGAATTGCACTGTATATGATTGGCGGCTGAATTGTCCAATAGGAGCCTTCTTAATAGAAAACAAGTAAAACTTTTCCAAGGTTTAACTCCCGACTGTGAACTGTAGTGGAGGTCTTGCTTGTAAATCTCGGCTTACCTTGGCTGCTCTGTCCTGGCTCCCCGATACTGACACCCAACTGAGAGGGGTACGAGCCCAGACCCATCACACTCCCGTGGGCAGGTGAACTCGGCAGTGCCTGCAGCTGACTGTGAGGACGGGGAACACTGTAGAGAGCCTCTGCAATGTCTGCTGCACGCTTCAGCAACATGTCCTGTACCAAAGTAAATACATCAGTCAGCAATGGTCCAGTGAAGTCATCATACAGTTTGATTTGGCTGTTTATTACACACATAAACACATGAAAGTGTAAGCTGCACTACACCCAATTAGCCCATTAACTATGACACCGCTGACAGTCGTCAAGTCATGCTGGTGCATTAGAGTGTTTATCCTAAAATCCAACATCTGAATGTCTAAGAGTCATCTGCCAAAACCACATCCCTGCCACAATTTACCAGCACATTACAGTGTTTGCCCGCAATAATTGTATAATGTTTATTTTACTGACTTTCGGCAGCTGCATCAAACCTCTAGCTAAATCCTAGTTAACACTTTACGAGTAAAATCTCTAATTTTGTAATGTGTTAATTAACATTAACGTAATGTATAAAATGGGTATCGACAGAGAACAAAAGAAAAAAAACGACTCATTAATGGATGAAATCACAGGTTGCTGTTAACAGCATAGCATCACTGTCTTTTTTTAAACTGCTCTAAAACATTAAATCCACTCACCAGTCCCTACACCATAAGACAAATTATTTTTAAGTGAGTTCAGAATAATCACATCACAATTAACAGAGTATGACACATTTATATTTTCCTGCCATTTATAAAGTGAATAAAATTTAAAAATATTGTGTTTATGCATTTATTTTCTGGGAATTCAGTGTTATGATGTTTTGTTTTTACCTGGTTACTGTGAGGGTTTCCATACAGAGCTTCCACCAGATCTGCTGCTCTTTTTAATAGGATCTCCTAAAATACACATATTGCATTTGCATCTTAATTATAATGTTATTGCTGAGTTCCTTGAAAAACAAAATCAATAATTTAGGTGGTGAAAATCAATAGTCCACGGGTCTCTCACCTTGGCGAGTTTCTCTGGGTCACCAGGATGTCGTGGAATTACTTTCTGAAGACGCTGGAAGCTGTAGTCTATAGTTGGCTCATTAAGAGCTTAAAGTTGAAAGAAAAATAAACATTTGATCAAACCTGGGTCACATATCTTTAAACACCGAAACTTGTTTCTTTAAATGAGACAGCGATTTATCTTAATACCGGTGTAGATGAAGCGGCCAGGAGCTCCTTTGCAGAACTGTTTGGATTTGTAAGACAGTGTGACCTCCACTACCCCCGGGATGTGTCGCGGAGTTGTTTGCACACGGATAGCGTGAGGTGTGATCAGCTGAAAATAGAGCACGAAACAGAAACTAGTTATTCTTCTGCATTTTGGGGAAATGTTTTGCTAACACAAACCAAGCAGAAGGATTGTAGATGTCATCTCTAAATCATAGGACAAATCAGGGGCTAAATATGCATGACTAATATTATTATATGTTTGCCTCAGGCTGTGTCCTCAGTGATAGGATTTTAAAGAAGACTCATACCTCACTCCACACCAGCATGCTCCCAAACACCACCTGCAGCCCGTCAAAGAAGTTCTCCCCTATGACGATGACCATGGCTCCTCCAGTGGTCCAGCCTTCACTGGGGCTGATGGCTTTGATACATGGTGTTGCTACACAGGAGAGGAAACCAATAACTATTAAATTGTTGTTGCGAGACATGTGACAGAAATGAATTGTTTTGAACACAACAGAATGAACAGAAAAAAACCATCTGTTATTAAAAATTCTACTTTTCAACTTGACAAGCAAAAGAATACTTTTTTCTTTTTTACATACCCTTTGTTATTAATTAATTATACTTTAGTCTTTTTATTATGGTAGCACTAATAAAAATGTTTTGAAGAGAAAAATCGAAATAAGGAAATTTAAGCTAAAGCTAAATCAATATGCATTTACTACTTTGCACTGTGTGGATGTTAGCAACCCCTAGTGGTGATGTTTAAATGTTTTAGTTGAATCTCACACCCAAGAGGAGAACATATGCATAAGCATTCTGTAATTTTTGTTTACTTTTTTACGGACATTCAGCATGTTTACAATTTTGTTTTTCAATGGAAAATATATTTACTTTTTCTATTGCCTTTTCAAAAATTTGATGAACCAACACAGCTGCCACCACAACTGCTGCAAATACATTCTAGGATTATTACAACAAAAATGATTACATTTATTAGAATGCAAATTAAATGGGAAATAATTCATCCTAAATTATACAAAGAGGACTTCCAATGAATGACCTCAGTGACATCATTGACAATATATTTGAAATATCAGGAATCCTTTTGGTGAATGTGCCAGTGAGGCAGACGTATAATAAAATAGATGGATGGGACGTGATGTCGTCATAATGCTAAGTGACGGTCTTACTGTACTCCATGCTATTCTCCACAGACTCCCCTGGATCCAGTCTGCGTGCTCTCCGTCCATGTTTGGAATTGTTGTGGACAAACATGTTGTCAGACACCGCCAGGACGTGTCCGTCTACGCTCACAGTGCTGGACAAGACTACCTGACGGAGAGGACAGGAGCCAAGGAGGTAAAAAGGTGAGTGTCGTTGCAGGACTTTGACAGCATACTGTGTCACAATATCTGGTTACAGCAGTAAAGTCCCTGAGCTACAATTAGTTTCAGTGTACAGGTGATCGTCATATTTTTCCTTGTGTAATATGACATCTCTGGGATTTCCATAACATGTTCACATTCTGGTGATGACACCAGTCACACAGCTCCTCGCCCCTCCATCAGGCCTCCAGATGTCCTCTGTACACATGGCCTCTGCATAACTTTTTGATTAACACAGTGAGCAACAGGCTCGCTGTTGTCTCCGCCTCATCCTCCAGTGACACCGCACATCTGGATCAAATCTTCCATTTTAGCCACCTGTTAAAGTAGCGGATGATATATAGTGGAGCAAATTTGATTTTCTGGCCACAGCATGTGGGTGTCCATTCCCACATCTGCCTTGCATGAATCACACACTAATAATTAATAAGAGGTTTTTCACCTTGATTCTTTTTCTACTTCTAAAAGTGTGATTATCAGATTGAAGAGAGAACTCCATTAGATTAAAACAGTTTGTTACATATTAAAAAAAACATATAAAAACAAGCAGGAAAATTGTATTAAAGAAAAAAGATCAATCCCTTTAAAAGGATAAACACCTGGCAGTAATTTTGCAGGTGAAGGCACTGAAGAAAGAAACAGGTGAAACAGCATCTGTGATGGTGGGTGATGGAAAAGAGGGGGCAACCTGTGGAACTGTAACTGTAAATTATTGATCACGCAGACAACTGTCCAGCCCTGATCACCTTTTAACCCGGAGAGATGAGAATCTTGTGAGCTCACAACTTATATGTCACACCAGAGGGGCTAAAGCAAACATGGTTGACGAGAGGAGAAGCACTAAGTAGATCAAGAGGAAAAGACAGTGTTTTTTTTTGGGAGGGGAATGCCAGACAGGGGCCGCTGGTGCTGAAAGACGGCAGAGGAAGTGAGGCGGAAGCGTCCCCAGTGACCACTTCCTCGGCCCCCGAGCATGACCTCATCCATCTGGAACCAATCACGCAAAACTTCCTCAAACACCTCAAACTATTTCCTGCACTCCAGCACCCCAAGAGCAGAGTTTATCTTCTCATAGATTTTTGACTTTCACCTCTAACTCCCTTTATGGATTCCCAGAATGCAAAAACATAGCTTTACTATTATTTATCACACAAACGCACAACAGACCAGACAGAATAATTATTTTATGACACCACATTGTAGAAAAAAGGCGAAATCGGGAATTCATGTAAAACCTATAGGTTTTAAATTTGTATACAATTTTCCCTTTAGGCGCACAGCGCCATGTTCTCTCTCTGTTCCTGTTGTCACGGACGAATAATATCTTGAACTAATCATTTCATTCGTTTTACAGCAGGTGGCGCTTTAGCCCTATTGTGGGCGTTGTAAAGAAGGCTGCGGTTCTCCAACACTAAATGCTGAAGGCAACATGGTTTGCTTCCGCTGACAAAGTCTACAAAGTACACAAAATGCCATAAGCAATTAAAACCACGCGAAAAACTATGAAATAAAAACACACCACAATGTGAAGATGAA